AACTGGAACATCATGGAATTATTTTTCCAGATACATCAACCATCCAGTTTATTGTTATCTGTGAAGAATGCCCATAAGTTTTCCTAGCTTCTTCACTTCTCATTAGATTTTAAGATTTCTTGTAAGATATTGTAACACTGATGAGGATTATATCTGAGGGTAAGAAATTGAGATAAAAGTAAGAAAATTAAAATAAAGTTATGAAAAATGCCCACTGTTTGTTAGTATTTACTAGTAAAGGAAAAAAAATTAAACTTTTTAAAACATAAATGTAATATTAATTAGTAAAAATAAAATCATGGATGTAGAAGCGAAACATTGGCGAATATAGAAGAGAAAACACACACACACACACATATATATATATATATATATATATATAATTTACCTTAAAATATTTTGGTTCATTTACATACGTGAGTGGATCTGAGGCTCTTTTTTTTTTCTTTGATCATGACAAGCATGTTGATTAATAACTATAATAACCATTAAAAGACAAACATATTGTAATAAGAGGCACAGCGGATCTTAGGCCGATCGATGAATATGGTCGTGTCGCAATTATAACTTGAATTAAGGAATTATATATAGAGCTAAAGAGGTTAGACTGAAAAAAAAAAAATTTAGGTCTGTTTATTTTTATATTTTAAAAATATTTTAAAAAATTAAAAATATTTATTTATTATTTCTTTTAAATTAATATATTTTTAATATTTTTAAATTATTTTAATATTAATATTAAAAATAATTTTTAAAAAATAAAAAAAATATTATTAATATATATTTTAACATAAAAAATATTTTAAAAATAATCATAACTATAGACAGAGACCCGGGCTTGGAATCGGGCAGGTCTAAATAAAAAACAGTTATGAATTTAGCTTCGTGAAAAACGATCGACCTAAAATGTAGACTCGAAATCCTTTTGATCCGGATAAACCCGGACGAGACCCGGCCATATTGTTTTTTGCCAACTATCTTGCTCTTCGTCTCTCCTTCCATAGCAACTGTCTTGCCCAAGGTTTCTCTATACACTATTTATTATTTTATTCTCTACACAATAAAAGAAAAAAATGGGAAAAACAAGTGAAATTGGAGGGCTAATATCAGCAATAACAGCCTCATTTTCTTTTTCTCAATCAATTTTTGTTTTTTTTTGCTGAAGGCCCTTTTAATTTCTCTCCTTTCTCTTCTTCAAACCCTTCTCCTTCCCCTCAATTTTCTTCGTCTTCTTCTTCTGTACAATCTCAGCCATCCACTTTGCCTCAATCAACGGCGGCGTGTAATTTAGAGCTCCTAGGAATGGTCACCCACGAACAACACTACTGGGTTTGATTTGAGGCTATAGAGAGAGGTGCTAAGGTTTTGAGAGAGTAATCCTCTTCCTCTCATGCTAAAAAGGTTGAAACTTTCCAAGGTGTCCACAAGAACAGTTTATAAGGGTGCCTATACTTTTTGTATTTTTGGTGGTTGGATTCATGGAAAATTCAAGGAAATGGGTTTTCGTTGTTTTTGCTAGGTTTTTGGAACTGGAATTGGATTTTCTTTATTGAGTTTTTTTGTTGGGTTTTTAATTGGGGGTATTTTTGTAAAATTACTGACTATAGTTTTTCAGTCTCGTACAAGAAACGATAGCATCAATGTGGATGGGGTACAATTATACAGATCATGGGTTATGACAGGCAAAATTAATTACGTTGCCTAATCTTAAAGTTGCTTTTTTTTTAGATTAATGTGGGTGTCCGGGCTAGCTTGCGCGCATCACGACTAATCCTACGGATCCTGAAGTTACCGACCATGTAAACCTCCAGTGGCCATCATATGAACAACCAAGGACTCGAACCTGAGACCACAGAGAGAGTAAACTCCTTGATCCCAAGTCCTTACCACTTGACTACCACCTAAATGGTTTCAAAGTTGCTTTTTGCTTTAATGAGAAGTTGAAATCCAATAGTTTTATTTTATTTTATTTTATTTTTGTCAATTTAGATCACCCCATCTAATTCATGACCCGGATCAAATTTAAAAACTACGATACTTTCAAACAATCCATTAACTGTAATTCCCCTCCACCAGTGATGTAATTAGTTTTCTGGAGATTGCCCTGATGCGGGGTCTTTCAAATCTTCTGATAAAAACAATAAGGCTAGTTTGAGACCCAAAAGTTACAACAAATAATATAATATTGGCAATTATATTTCTGGCTAGCTCTATTTATTTGTTTTCTTGAGAATAACATTTACTCCTACAATACTTGGTTTATTAAAAATATAATTATCAAACTCGTGTTGGTCAAGTAAGTTTTAATCAAACAAGTCCATCATGTAAGCTATTAATTTAGATTTTATATCAAAACATTCTAGATATTAATCCAGTTAAATCTAAATAAGATTCGGTCAGGTTATTTTGTTAATGTAATTATGGGTTGGTAAAGGTTCAACGCACCTAAACCAAAGAACATAAACATGGATAGCTAAGTATACATGTTGATCCAATTAAATTTAAATAACGGTCTGGTTAGTTTCAATTTTGTTGGTGCCGCTAAGAAAGATTCCATTAGCTAAGGCCAAAGTCCAATTAAATGAATATTTACAGGTATTGGAAAAGGAAACATATTTATAATTAATTCTTTAAGTAAACTTACATTTGAAAAACCACACAGATAAGAATTTTATTTCCGGGTTAGTGAAAAAAACCGGCAAGGCAGTAGTTTTATTTGGGAAACTTGGGGCTGAATGACATTCTTAAGAAACCCAGTGGGCTAGAGGAAACAAAATAGATTTGAGCAGGCTCATTGTTATCACGTTATGATGATGTGATGATGAGGTGTCACAACATCCATTTCCCTCACCAATCCCTCCTCTGTCACTTCATCTTTATTAATTAAAAAACTACCAATTCCACCTATTACACTTCACCCACAAAATGCCAATGATTTTTTTTTCTTTCAGAAATATTAAGTTCAAGTAAAAGATAAAAAAATTATTGTTTTAATAAAAATAACCAATTTAGATTAATCAAATAACCTGCAAATACAGCTAGTGATATAATAATTTAATTTTTTTAAAGTTATTTTATAATTCTAAATCTAACATATATTTTAAAATATATTAAGTGATTGGTTCGTACTTTGTGGTATATCATATCAAAATATGTTTTAAAATTAAAAATTAAAAGAAAAACAATATATTACTAATATATTTTTTATTTGCAAGTAAAATTTTGATTATAAACTGAAAAATTAATATAAATAAAGTAATTTTTTTAAATATTAAAATAATGGCATCTTCAACCTATCAGAATTATCTTTAGTTATAATATAAATAAAGTAATTTTTTTAAATATCAAGATAATAACATCTTCAACCTATCAGAATTAACTTGAGCTGATTTTTTATATTAATGATTGTGGTTATGAATTCATTTTATTAGATAGCATTTTTTTTAAATAATTTTTATCTAATTATATGATTATTAAAAAAATGTTTGAGGATAAAGTGTATTAAATAAAAATGTTGCTAATATATTTTATATTGTGGTTATCTCAATTTAAATTATCTAAATTAAAAGCTTTATATTTAAAAAATAAACTAAAAATAAGTTTGAGGATGAAATTAAAAAAATAATAAAGTGTAACTTTACTGTTCATACAGACTAGGAATTTGTTTTCAATTATATGTAATAATCAATTGGCTGTCAATTGTAGGTTAATATGTTTTAACAGAAATTAAAAAATTTCATTAGTTAATCTATGAATTTTCATTAGACAGATGTTTTATCGTATGTGATTTATGTTTTCGGCGTCAACAAGTGGGAAACGAGTAAGGAATGGAACCGTCACAATCGTCACCCGGAAAGTCTGAAAGTTATTTAGAATGACTAGAAATTGCATTCCAGTTTGTGGACGTGCCGGAGTGGTTATCGGGCATGACTAGAAATCATGTGGGCTCTGCCCGCGCAGGTTCGAATCCTGCCGCTCACGATAATTTTTTCATTTTTAAGTGGTGGGTAATTTTTGAAGGATAAAACGAGGTGATAATAATGATTAAGGGATTGGTTGAAAGTATGGTTCAATTTAGTTTTTAAAGTATTTTTTATTCAGAAATATATAAAAATAATATTCTTTTTAGTTTTTAAAAATTTATACAAAAATAATTTAAAAACATAAAAAAAACACTAATTTAAAGCTCTTAAAAAAATTTAAACATATAGTTCAACTACAATGTTAAATATAATATGCTGGGTGGCTTTGCTCTCTTTCATGGAATTTTCAATGCAGCTTCTGAGTACTTTTATCATTAAACAATTTCTCCATTTCTTAATCTTTCGCTGTCATTAATTTGTTGTCTAGTGGGATAGCAAATGTGTGTGGCTTCTATTTCAAATCAATGATTGTGTTCATATATACATGCTAAAGTTTTGCGGTATATACCAATTAACTAAGACATTCTTGAGATTTTGATTCCACACTTTCAATCTCTTGATCTCTTTCCAAACTGAAACAAAAAAAAAAATCCATGTTAAAGAAACAGTCACTCAGAAACCTTCCTTTAAGAGTGGAATTATAAGAATGATTTGTCTTTACCTTAAATTAAACTTCTATGTTGTGCAAGAAATTAAAATACTGTTTATATAAAACGAATCTCATTTTTGAAGGCACATACAGCTCCTAGAAAAAGTTGAATATTTGTGCATCCAAATTCCAAGCCAGAAAAGTCTACATAGAAAATGATTCTAGATGCAGAGATTCTAGACGGAAATGGCCGCCTTCCCTGTGTGATCTGACACCGTCTTATTTAAAAGAAAGAATATCAGACGAGAGCCACATATCTGTATCTAACGGATGTCTATTATATGTCAATTTCAATTAATTACACCATGACGTGAAAGAGGAAGTTTCCAACCAATTCATTTGCCCTTGTGTGGAAAAGTAAGCAACTTGGAAACGTGTGGCACGATTCTTGTGTTTGCTCTAGAAGCCCCCACTTAAATCCCATGAAAACTCACCCACCGTTGCTATCTTTGTTTATATATATATTGTTTTTCTGTCTATATAAGATCACTGAGATGATGTCTCTTGCAACTCCACTTGCCTGTATTATCTTTTTGTCGGCTGGAAATTAACTGAAGCCCATGTTTCGTTGAAGACAGAAGGATCAAGCATGGGTATGCCAAAGCCTTCTTCTACTCTGCTTCTGCTGTTGCTTATAGTCACTGTTTCTGCATCCCAGAAACAAATAACATCAGAAGCAAGGACACTTTTGTCCCAGAAACAAAGTAAGTATATATCACTATTTACACTTAGGGCTCTCTCTCAATGGTGATTCTTGATTGATTGGTTTTTCTCTTACTTACCGTGACCATGCAATTCGCAGAGTATTCCAAGATTTTTTCGACACTGGGAGTTGTTTGCAAGTGTTGTGATGAAACTGGAGCTGAGTGCGCAACTACTTGGACGGGTTCTTGCCATAATCTCCAATGTCTTCCATGGAAGATATAGACTAGACTAGTCAGGGATTTCCTTGCGTCTTCTCTTGTTAGTGGTTTTTGTACATATATGTAGTCATACTCGATCAATGATTCAAGCAGCTTTCGAGATTTGGCCATGTTCTAGATTCATAAAATGTTCCTAACTTGACGAGCTTAATTTGGTAGCCAAATTTAAAACTACATGAAATATTTTAAGCTTAACTTCTCTAAAGATGTATTGTAACTTGAATCCCATATTATGGTATTGAGCATGTCATTCAAGTGCTGGGATGATTAAGAAAGGGTTGTGAAAGAAACTATGGCCTGTAAAAGATCATCCAAAAATTGTCAATTTCTTATGGAGAGCTATTACCAACTCACTGCCAACCCAAATTGGACTGATTGAAAGGAAGATGTTACCAGATCCCATGTGTGCTATGTGTGGCTGTGAGCATGCAGGAAACGGTATAGCGAATTCTGTTTCTCTGTCTGCATGCTAGATCGGCTTGGTTTTTGATAAATTTGCGATACTCTCCGGATTCTATTGGGTTTAGATCGATGGGAGTCTAAAGGGAAAGAGTGCAGAAAGCTTGGAGTGGGTACCTTGAAGAAGTGCAAGGAATTAATTTGTTTTCCAATCAAAGTGATGACTGCAAGAAACGCAGACAGGGTTTTATATAGAGGCTATGGACTGTTGTCTTCCATATGCTGCTAATGTACAAAGACCTAGAGCTGATAATAAACAGGTGATCGAGCACTGGTTCCTTCCAAGAAATGGACAAGTAAAGTCAATCTGCGATGCCTTTTTGAAAAATAGTTGCGATGAAGGGGGCTTGCTTTTGTGGGAAGAAATGCCAGGGACAAGGGGCTGAATGATTCTGGGAAGGGCTTGGAAGAGCAATCTCCTGTAATTTGATGGCAGAAGCGATCAATGGTATGCAGGGAGCCTGTTGATACTTACTAAAGGGCCGAAGGGTATAATAATTGGAACCGGTGCCAAGCTAGTCGGACATGTCTCTGAGAAGTGAGATTCAAAGGGCCTTCCATGGGAGATTCAAGAACTCTTAAGTAATCTCCCTTATATTTAGGAATAGTTGCAGACTGAGTATCTAAGGCAACCAGGTAGATTGCTGAATGTAGGCATATCTATTGATTGGGAAGGTCGTCGTCCCCTCCTGCCATTGAGGGGCATTTGACCTGTGTATGCTGATGTTTTGGCTAACGAACGAGATTCATTTCAAAACAAAGATCAAATAAGAAAAGAACAAAACATGTCTTCTTCTTTTTTTATCATGAGAAATCGAGGATAGAGAAGTTAATTAGCATTAAAATAGGTGAAATGGATCAACTTTTGACGATTCAAAGATGCTGCCCGAAAGAGCCAAAGATTAACAATTAATGTAAGTTCTGGTTGCAAAAATTGAAAGAAGACTCAACTAATAGTTAATATCATGAGTGAAAGCTGAAATGATAGGTTTCCATATAAAAATGAGAGGAGGGTATTTTCTGGCGGCCAACCCTCTTGAATAGATGGGGACTCTTCACATTATTATTTACTAATAAACTAAAAGGCCGGTGTTTTAATGTGCAACCATCTCATGACTCGAAAAGTACATTATAGTCCTTATTGGTTTTGTTTTTTGTTGAATTTTTTCGGTCCCTATAATTTTATTTGTGTATATTTTGGTTATAAGGCTTCATTTTTCTCATGTTCCAATCCCTTATGTTGCAATAATTTTAATTTGATCTTGAAATTTTCAAAGAAGTTCAATTTGGTCCATAAAGTTTTCATTTTCACATTTTTCACCTCTATAGTTTTATGTGTTTATATTTTGTCCTACAACTTTGTTTTCCTCGCATTAAGTTCCTAGATGTTAAAAGAAGATAGAGAAAGTCATTGGTTTTGAGGAGGGGAGAGAGATTTTAGTCACCCACGTCTCAATAATAAAAGATTCATTTTGGAGCACATGAATTCAATTTGGAGATGTGAAAGTTTAATAAAAGTGGTTTTTCTTTTTAATTTAATATACTGAAAAAAGTTTATTAAGATTGACAAAAAAAAAAATTTGTTTGGTTTTTAGTTTTTAAATCTATTAATAGATGTTAAAGGGTTTAAAATGGTAATTGGATTATGTTCTAGTTTAAAAAAATATTGTTTATATAGTTAAATGACATGTTATCTGTTTTATTTAAAAATAAATGATGAATTTCATTCACTTTATTTAGTCAAAGTATTTTATATATTTTTTATAATAAAATCATTTTCAAATAAATAATCATAATGATATTTAAAAAATTATTTAATTATTTAATTTTTAAAATAAAATTAGAGCTTTATAATGATATTTAAAAAATCATTCAATTATTTCATTTTTAAAATAAAATTAGAGCTTCTATAATAATAATTGAAATTATTTTATTAATAATTTATATATGAATTTTATTAATAAAATTGTACATGGATATTCAATGAGAATATATATATATATGTATGTATGTATGTATGTATGTATTATTGTGAGTTTTTATATAGTTTTCAATTATTCTTGTTTTCATACAAGCATATAAAAATCATCAAGACTTGAGTTTTTATTTTATTTTTATTAAAACTTTTTTTTCAATTCATAATAAGTTTTTATTGAAAAAACATTCTTATAATAAAAATGATGTATATTCATAAAAGAAATGAATAAGGAAAAGGAGATTTTTACTAAATAAATACATTTTTTCTTCCTGATTTAAAATTATAAAAATTATTTCAAATATTTATTTTAATTACCTTAAGTTTTTATTGTATTCCTCATATTGTTATAAAGAAATAAATGTTTCATCACAGCAGGAAAAAAATACATAAATAAAAAGTGAGGATTTTTACTAAAAAAATACTCTTTTTTTCTGCATCATTTAAATCTTTCAAACCCTTTCAAATACTTATTTTAATTATTGTATAAATAAAATAAAGATTGGTTTTGAAAATGATTTAATTGCCTGCACTCTTTCCTCAATTTCATAATTTATTACACCTATGTTATGTTCAACATGACTTTTTATTCATTTATACTTATAAAATATTTGTATATGTTTATTTGTTAGCTGAAAAATCAATTTTTTGCTTTAATTTTAATTAATATTCATATTTTTTTAATTCATTTTATTAAACATAAATATCATCTTTTCATACTTCCATTTACAAGTTTTATGATGTCCTAAAACACATCTACAGCACCAATGCCTTCTTTTAAATTAGAACAAAACTTGAAATTTTATCCAAAGTACGACGCTGACGCGATAAATAATCTGTGGCTAAGTATCTAATGTGGTCGTTGACCTGGTCATTTTCTCCACGGGTAAACTCCATTGCTCCTTGCAATTACCTAGTTTCATCGGTAAGTTGATTACTTTACATGCTATCATTTATCCTCAAAATCTTAGAGAGACAACATGAAAATTATTTTTAAAAAACATGTTATTAATCTATTTTTGGATATATATTTAATTAGAAAAAACAACTAATTTATGACTGGGTAAAAGAATTAAAACTAGCTTAAGAGAAAAGTTTATTTGTTGGATAATTATTTAATTATTTAATTTTAATAATCTAATATATTTTTTTAACTGATAATTTGTACTTGATAAATAACTGAGAGCTCATGCTTGGTAGGTAGAAGTAACTAATACATATTAAAAATTATTTTTTATAGAATTAAAAATTCTTGGATTCTGAAATAATTAGTTGTTTAAAGAAAAAATTACAATGATATTTTAAAAAAATATATTATGCTAAAAATATAAAAAATAATTTATTTTTGGATATATATTTAATTAGAAAAAACAACTAATTTATGACAGGGTAAAAAAATTAAAACTAGCTTGAGAGAAAAGTTTATTTAATTTTTTAATTTTAATAATCTAATATATTTTTTCAATTAGCTCGTACTTGATAAATAAGAGAGAGCTTGTGCTTGATAGGTTAAAGTAACTAATACATATTAAAAATTATTTTTTATAGAATTAGAAATTCTAGATTTTTAAATAAATAGTTGTTTAAAGAAAAATTTATAATGATATTTTAAAAAGATATGCTCTAAATATATTTATTCTAAAAATATTGAAAATAAAAAGAATATGAATTTAAA